AGACAAACCAACAAATGTAAAGCCAATTCATGACAGCAGCTTCCCCGCTCAGTGACTTCATTCAAAACCTAGTTTAAAACTGTACTTGATGGAGCCTCTGGGATTAACTCCATTTTCACATTGTAGCTTATGTGCTCAATTTATACTATAGACTATATCCACAGGTCTAAGTCTGTAGTTCTGAAAATACAATTAACTGCTGTGTTTATTCTAGTCTCAGGGCAAGTCAATTTTTTTTTTTTTTTTTTTTTTTTTTGGTGGAGAGGATCCTAGGACTCTTCATCTTCCATAGTGTTTCAGCAGTATGGTACATGGAGAACGCTCATGAAATGTTTAGAACCAACTAGTGCAACGAAAATCAGAATGTGGCTCCTCATCCCCATAATAAGGTTGGCTACAAAGGTCTGCCAAAAGAAGCAAAGCCACAGATCCAGTGGAAAGAGCAAATGAGTCAAAGCAAGAAACCTCACGTTCAGTTTCTCCTCCATCCTTTCCCTGGGCACGGGGTTTCTGGCCAGGCAGCTCCTAGGAGCACTTGGTCATATCTGTGAGACAGGGGTATCACCTGTCCTGCCTACCTGCTCAGCTATCAATTAAATCTCATGAGAGATAAGAATCATTGTGCTTCAGGGAATTCTAAGCGTGCTAGGGAACTAGGGCATAAATACTGGAAACAATGAACAAGCTTTAATTATAGAATTGGGAGACTTTTAAAAATGTATTACAGGTTGAATGATTGAAAATTAAATCATTTTACAAGCCCCCAAACTGAGTGACATGCTCAAAGTTGCAGAATTATGGCTGTCAGTATCTCATCTAAGCTTTCTCTTAGGGTTGATCTTTATTTATTTATTTCTAAATTTGAAAGGCAGAGTTGCAAAGAGAACAAAACAAATAGGATTCTTCCTTCCATTCACTTCCACAACAGGAGCGGCTGAGCAAGGCAGAAGCCAGCGGCCAAGAGCTTCATCTGGATCTCCCAACTGGGTGGCAGGGGTCCCAGTTCTTGGGCCATCTTCCACTGCTTTCCCAGAACATTAGCAGAGTTGGATCAGAAGTGCAGCAGCTGGGACTTAAATCAGTGCCCATGTGGGATGCCAGCATCGCATGTGGCTGCTTAACCTGTGGTGCTCCAACACCAACCATCTGAATTTTCTCAGAACCCAGCACTTTCCTGTATCCCACATAGCAATTACCACTTGCACAGTCTCATATCTAATGTACACATTTCACAACTTTTGTTAACCTTGTCCGTATCATCATCTGGAATGGTAGAAACTAAATGATACCTGGGGGCAGCACTGTGGTGTATTGGGTAAGCTATTGTCTGCAGCACTGGCATTCATATGGGTGTCAGTTTGAATCCCTGCTACTCCACTTGTGATCCAGCTCCCTGCTAACATGCCTGGGAAAAAACCGCAGACAGCCCAAGTCCTTGGGCTCCTGCACCCAGTGAAAGAACCAGAAGAAGCTTCTGGCTCCTGGCTCTGGATTGGCCCAGCTCTGGCCATTGTGACCATTTGAGAATTGAACCAACAGATGGAAGAGCTCTCTGTGTGCTTCTCTCTGTAACTGTGCCTTTTGAGTGAAATAAATCTAAACAAGAAAATTTTTAAAAATTTAAAAAACCTAAATAATTCTTTTAAAGTAGTATATAAATAGATGTCTGAAGTTGAGATCTTGCACATTTGTCATCTGAATTGGATTTAAAATGTGCCAAATGCAGGTGGAGGCTTGGCTCAGTGGCTTCGGCTCCCACCTGAGCTGTGGGGATCTAGCCAGGCTACTTGCTTCAAATAACGACACAGCTCAAGTACATGAGTCCCTCCCCACAAATTGGGAGAGCAGGGTTGAGTTCCAGGCACCTGGCCCAGTTCTGGTTATTAGGTGCAACAGGGAGTAAAGCAACAGATGGAAGCCCTTTCACTGTCTGCCTCCCTACTTTTTTTTTTTAACTGGAAAGACAGAAATACAGAAAGGAGGAGAGACAAAGAGGAATATCTTCCATCTGCTGATTCACTCGCCAAGTAACTGCAACACTTGGAGCTGAGCTCATCTGAAGCCAGGAGCCAAGAGCTTCTTCTGGGTCTGCCACACAGGTACAGTGTCCCAAAGCACTGGGCTTTCCTCAAATGCTTCGCAGGCCACAAGCAGGGAGTTGGATGGGAAGTGGGGCTGCTGGGACTAGAACCAGTGCCCAAATGGGATACCGGCGTGTGCAAGGCAAGGATTTGAGCTGCTAGGCTACCATGTTGGGCCCCTGTCTCTCTACTTTCCAATTAAGATGAAAATAAATTGGAGCCAGCACAGTATCATAGCAAGCTAATCCTTTGCCTGCGGTGCTGACATATTATAGGGGCACTGGAACGTGTCCTAGCTGCTACACTTTCAATTGAGCTTCCTGCCTATGACCTGGGAAAGCGGCCAGAAGATGGCCCAAGTTCTTGAGACCTTGTACTTACACATGAGAGATCTGGAAGAAGCCCTCGGCTCCCAGCTTCAGACTGGCCCAGTCCTAGCCATTGGTAGGGGAGTGAACCAGAGGATGGAAGACCTGTCTTTCCCTAGTACCCTCTGTAACTCAAGTAAATAAATAAATATATCTTTAAAAAAAAACCCATAAAGAATATTACTGGGTCACAACATTAGAAACTCAAAGACTGAAAGCAGCCAATGTTTCCGATATTATTCACCTACTAAATAATCGCTTATTTGGCCTCTGGGTAGGATTCTTTTTAAAATATGGTTTTGGGGGGGCCAGTGTTGTAGTGCAGCATATTAAGCTACCACCAGCCACACCAGCATCCCATGAGCAAGGACCAGCTCAGACCCATAGTGCTTTGATTCCCATTCAGCTCTCTGCTGATGTGGCTGAAAGATGGCCCAAGTGCTGGGGCCTCTGCACTCATCTGAGACCTGGGTGGCCATTTGGGGAGTCATCCAGCAGGAAGATAATTTCTCTTTCCCTCTCTATTTTTCCCTGTAATTCTGCTATCTGAAAAAATAAACAAGTAATGATTCAATTATGTTTATTACTGGAGAGCTGTGAAATACAGTCTTTATTTAAAAGACTACATATTTGTTTCATACAAAATATTGAAAGCAATGTAAAATATCTTGTTTTTGTTCACTTATTCATGATTATTCTAGAGGTGGAATCAAAATTGAGAAATAGTTACGGAGTGCGCTGTATCATATAATACTGTTTTAACATGTGCAATTGAAGACTATGATGGAAACTATGTAACAGTTGTTCAAAACCAGAAAGATGTAAATTCAGGACTGGAAGGGAAAACAAGTTAGATACTTAAAAAACAGAAACACAGAAACAGCTACAATCAAAAATACCCTCAATAACTCCATAACCTAAGGGAGAAATTCTCATCTAAAACCAAAAATCTATTCTCTAGGAATATCCCACATATACCCTTCCCCCAAAGCTGAAATTTATCCTGAAGAAGGGCTTAGAAACTTTAGGAGAAGCTAACCAGAAGTGAAATGGTGTTGTGGGAAAGAGCATGAAAATGGCAAACGTCTCCTTGGAAACTTGCGTTCTTCCACGACCCAGGAATGCAAAGGCCTCAGAAAGCAGTACGTGCGGAGCACGGTCGGCAAAATCAAGTCAGTTTGTGAGGCAGGCCACAAAGCCCAAGTTATTATTATATAACATTCACTTGTCTACCAGCATAGCAGCTCACTAGAGTAGACGTAAACGCTTATTTAAAAACTGCAATTCTTGTATTCTGACTCATTCTGCTTTTATTCTTACAAAAGAATGTTAGCCATGAAAGCTGGATCAACTATCCACTTCTGAAAAAGGAATTTATCATAGCTTCAATAGGAAAAGAAAAAAAAAATCCACCCCAAATTTTCCTCCCTTTTCACAATGCAGGCCTTCATTTAAGCATGCGACCTTAAGGCAGGTCATCACTCCTGTCTGGAACCGAGTTTCCTAATAACAAGATCAGACACTGCCTGGTGTTCTGCATGTCCTGGTCAGTAGGATCTGCTCTATGGATACAATGAAACAAATCTCAGGATCTGTGAAGTTCAAATGGGTTAGGTAATTGTTCCCAAATACATGCTTTACTGGACATATTGAACTGTCTTATAACTGAAAAAAAAAAAAAAAAAAGCAAAAAGCAAAAAGCACTAAATGTTCATTAGCTCAGTAATTTTTTACTTTCCACTACCTAAATGTAATTTTGGATTCTAAAATGCAGACAACTCTCTGACATACTGTGATATTTCACTAGGAGTCAAAGTTCTTTACGGTACAGGTGAAACAAAATGCTTAATAAACTTCAAAATGATTTTTAAAAAAAGGCAACTTGGACATATTGCACCCAGCTAAACTTCTAACAAGCTCCAAACTGTTTCTTTAAGACATATATTTGGTTTTTCCTTATCTAAACTATATGGTTTACAATCTGCCCCTTTATTAGTCAAAGAGGAGCAATATATTAAAAGTAGTTAAATACTTTGATCTAAAATAAACTGCCGCAGAATATAGAACGGCTTCCAGAGACAGAAATTCAGTGATAGCCTGGCTGTCACCAAAAAGGATAAACGTGAAAAACTACCTAGGAAAGCAGCAATACTCTGCTTGTCACCAAGACCATCAATTATTATCTCCTAACACGCTGCTTGAAACATCTTTTCGTCATTGACTAGTCTACATTCGTTCCCAACAGCCCACTTGGAGGCAGGGTTGTTGGATGGTATCAGGCAAGTGCAAAGCCGTCGGGTACTAATGGGGAACATTTTATTAGCACTGATGACCTAGTCGCTTGGCAAGCGTCAAGCATCCCCTACGAGGCGGGCAGGCACTGAGCGAGTGACGGGGGCCAGCACTGAAGGCCACGGCTGACCCTTAGAACACCGCGTCCAGCGAACGCGTGCAGGTGTGGAGCCGAGCGGGCTGTCCTTGCAGGGAGCCCAGTGCAAGCTCCACACGGGCAGCCTCGCCGACAGCAGCAGCCGGGCCTCCGAGGGCTCACCTCTTCCACCTCGATCTCCTTGTAGTCGATCTCCTCGAAGTTCAGGACCTGGGTAGGGGCTTCGATCATCTCACTGGTCGAGGACGAGGAAGAGGAGGAGGCGGCGGAGGCTGTAGACATGATCCCTGGCAGCGCCCGGGGGTCCCGGGGACGGCGCCGCCCGGACGATCCGGGCGGGACTCGCGCCCACCCGCCTCGGCACCGACCCTCAGCCTGGAGCGGCGCTGCGCTGCCACCCGGCGACCCGTGGCGGGGGTGGGGGCAGCAGCCACGGCCGCCGCTCCAGCTCCGGCTCCGCCGCACTGTCCGCGGCCGGGCCCGCCCGCCCGCCGCACTTCCGGTTCCGCTCCGAAATCGGAAACAGGGCAGCCGAGAGTCGGAGGGCGGGGCGAGGAGGGTCGGAGGCTGGCTTGAAGCTGTCGCACAAATGTCGCGAGATCTCTGGGAAAGCACCTCAGCCAGCGAGGGAACCCGCGAGAACTGATGCCCTGGCGTCATGAAAGTGCGCCAGCGGAAGTGGCGCGCTTAGACGGGGGGAAAAACCCACAAAGTTGGCGTGGTTGGTGCTTGGAAAGACCCGCGGGAAAGATGAAGGGTGCGGGTGGGTGTCTGCTCGGTGACCTCGGCCGCACCCGCTCTGCTTGTCCGAGCGGCCCGCGGACGGACGGGGGCTTCGGTGAAGCCGCTCCGGGCTCCGAGCGGCCGGAAGCCCTGCAAAGTGGGCTTTCCCCGGCGCGGTGTGTGGGAGGAAGCCGAGATCCCGAGTTAGGAGCCCGCTGAGCCTTGGCTCCATACAGAACGTGAACAGCCGCGCTGGAGGCCTCTGTGTGCATCTCCGGCCTTGCTGCAGGACCCCACCCGGGGCCATCTCGGTTGTCCACGTGAGAAAGGCGCCCCTGTGGAGTGGTAACCAAGCAGAAGCAGATGGAATCAGTAGGGGGCACCACCCGTCCTTGTCACCTGTCGTTATCACCTGTGGTTTCCAAACCACCAGTAACTGTCTTCTCAGTACCATGGATGCTGCCACGTAAGGACTCGGGAAATATTTGTAACGTATTCTGAGCATAAGAATTGTTTTTGTCAGTCCCCTTTCCCTAGGTAGTAAGTTCAGTTTCCCTCATCTCCTGCTCATGACCGGAATCCTGGTAAAGATGGAGTTCATTTTGCTCCAACTTTTTGTCACTGAGAATATGAAGTAAATAGAAAGTTGCGAGTGATCATTTGTGTCTCACCAAACATTTCACTATAGGGCCCAGCGCAGTGCCCTAGTGGCTAAAGTCCTTTCCTTGAACGTTTTGGAGTCCCACATGGATACCGGTTCTCATCCCGGCCGCCCTGGTTCCCAACCAGCTTCCTGCTTGTGGCCTGGGAAAGCTGTCGAGGACAGCCTAAAGCCTTGGGACCCTGCACCCATTTGGGAGACCTGGAGGAAGTTCCTGGCTCCTGGCTTTGAACTGGAGCCGCTCCAGCCATTGTGGTCACTTGTGGAGTGAATCGTCAGTCAGAAGAACTTCCTCTCTGTATATCTGACTTTGCAATAAAAATCTTTTTTTTTTTTAAGTTCACTATAACTGGAGCCCTTTATTTGTTACCTTATTTATCCATCTGTCTTTTTATTGGGATTCTTTTCAAAATGCTTAAAGAATGTTGAACATTTCCCTTTTTGATATTTCTATTTTTGTGTTTTCACTTACAGATTTGGACTTCTGATTTTAAAAGTTTGTTTGAAAGGCAGAGTGACAGAGAAGCAGAGACAGACCGGGGGGTTCTTAAATGCACTGACACACCCGCAGATGTCAGCGATGGCTAGGATTGGGCTAGTGTTGGTTTTTCATGTGGGTCATGGGGGCTTACATGCTTGAGCTGTCTTCCCTTGCTTTGCCACGTGGATCAGCAGGGAACGGGACTGGAAGTTGACTCAAACCAATGCCCATATGGGATGCCAGCATTGTGGGTGGCTTAACCTACTGCACTTCAGTGCTCATCCCTGACCTCTGTCTGTTATCTGTGCTAGCCTAAAATAAAGCCGTGCTAGCTTACCTACCTGGCGCATTTCCTCTAGTTACTGGGTAGCCCTTGCAGGTTAGTGGCTCCAGTTCCAGACATGCTCAAGGTCCAGTCCACTTCTGTTGTATGATTTGGTGGTGTAAAAGGTACCCCACTTGTCATGTAAGCTGCCTTCTGTATTCTTTGTCATTCAAACAAAGGATTCCAGATAACAAGTCTTACACAGACAAGTGGCAGGGGAGCTGTCTTGACTCGCTTTAAGCCTGTCTTTGACTCACCTCAGTTTGCCATGAAATTCTCTTTACGTTTCTTGAATGAAGTGTGGAAACTAGATCTCAGAATTTGATGTCGATCTCAGTCACCCTCTGCTGTGGCCCTAGAAATTCCCAGATCTAGAACATGCTGTGCAGATGAACTTCTTAAGTTTCTCCCACTTTGAGCACCCTTCACTATCCACCGTCATGTCAGCACCTTTAATAACTACTCTCTAGGCTCCAGCTCTGTCTTCAGTTTTAACCATAGCATTGGAGCCTAGGGGACAGAGGCTTTAGAATCTGTTCCCCACTCAGTTTGTGTATTCTAAATTGGTTTTTCTTTTTCTTGGCTCATTTTGGCTATATGGTTACCTGGCATATATTTTCTTTCCTTTTTTTCCCCTAAATATTTATTTTTATTGGAAAGTCAGATGTACACAGAGGAGCAGAGACAGAGAGGAAAATCTTCCTTCCACGGATTCATTCCCCAAGTGGCTGCAATGGTTGGAGCTGAGTCAATCTGAAGTCAAGAGCCCAGAGCTTCTTCAGGGTCTCCCACGTGGGTACAGGGTCTCCAGGTTGTGGGCTGTCCTCGACTGCTTTCCCAGGCCACAAGCAGGGAGCTGAATGGGAAGCGGGGCTGCTGAGATAAGAACCAGTGCCCGATGGGATTTGGGCACATGGAAGGCAAGTACTTTAACTGCTAAGCTATAGCACTGTGTCCCTGGCATCTATCTTCAGGGAAACATAGCAGAAACAAATGGCTCTGCTATAACATTCTGTTAAATTATTGTCATATCGGATAGCATTCCATGCTTTGTCAGCTGACATGAACTATTGTCAATAACTGGGGCCCCAATATCAAACATCTTAAGTATGTAAGGCTATTTATTGTTCTAGTTAACTGCAAAGAAAAGAGCTAAGCCTAAATTCAGGTTTCATTTACTGCATAGGCTTACAAATAAAACAATTGCATTTCTACTCTCATCTGCCTTTTGTGGTATTTGCCATGTTCTGGAACAGTATTTCTTAATTTTTTAAAAAAACTATTTCCCCTTGAGGACCCTTTTTAGGTGTTTTCCAAAAGACATCTAAAAAAAAGTAGTATTTTTGTTTATTTGTTTTAACTTGAAAGGCAGAGTAATAGGTAGGGAAGCATGCATAGGTAGAAAAGGGAGTCTAATCCACAGGGGAAGTGCGGCAGGTGATGCTGGGCCGGCCGAAGCCAGGAGCAAGGAACTAGGCAGCTGAATTAGAACCAAGTAGGCAGCAGTTGAACTGGCACTCTGTTACGGGGTGTGGCACCAGAGCACCCAGGCCTCCCCAATGTGTATTTGTATGCTGTATGCGTATTTGTGCTTTGTACATGAAGAGGTAGGCTTGTTTTTCTTTCCCCAGTTTTCACCTGCTTTGGAGGTGATATTTTCCTGATTTAGAATGCATATATGAGAGTTTTCATTTTCCATATGACATATCACACTGTCCAATACAACAGACAGCATCTCTTTTGTATTTATCTCAGAAGGGCAAAGAACTTCTTTTTCAAGAGCACTTGACAGCTGTGCCTTTAGGGAGACTGGACTTATGGGAGTATTGACTTTGAGGTAGAGATAGAGATGGTAATCAGAAAAAAAAATGGATCACTCTTAAGAGCAACAGAGCAAGGAATGATTGGGTATATAACCAGCAGATGTTCATAATTACTGTTATGGTTGAGCTCTGTAATGGTGAATTTTGTGTCGACTTGCTTAAAGGATGCCTGGATGTCTGCTGAAACTATAGCTAGGTGTCTCCATGAGGATGTCACAGAGATTGTCTGAATCAATAGACTGAGTAAAGAAGCTCTGCCCTGGTCAGTGTTGATGAGCATCGTCCTTTCTGTTGTGGATCTGAATAAGATAGGTGGAGGAAACGTGAATTCACTCTTGTTTTCTATAAGTTGGATCGTCCATTTTCTTCCTGCAGACACTGGAGCTGCTATCTATTGGACCTTTTCCCTTCACACCTAATAGCAGGGCCCACCTCCCCAGAGCCGAACCTACCTCCCCAGGCCCACATCCCCAGAGCCCACCTCACCAGGCCTACCTCCCCAGGTCCACCTCCTCAGTCCACCTTCCCAGCCCACTTCCTCAGAGCCCACCTCTCCAGACCCAACTCCTAGTATCCCTTGTTCTCAGGTCTCTTTAGTAGGACCTAGAGTTAGACCATTGGCTTTACTGTTTCCCAGGCTTTTGAATATGGACTTAATTACACTACTGGCTTTTCTGGTTCTTCAGCTTACAAACAGCAGATGGTAGAACTGCTTCAGCTTCATAATACACGAGCCAATTGTCACATTAAATCTCTTCGTATATATCCTTTGGTTTTGTTTCTCTGGAGAATCCAAATGCAAGTTCTATACCTATGAAGTCCTAGCTTTCCTCTTTGTCCCAGAACCCAAAATCCCAACTGTTGGATATTTTTACCCCCAGGATATTTAGAAGCAATTTTCTGCTGTTTTATATTTATATTGAAATATAGATGTAGGGGATAATCAACCCCTTGGCATTTCAGGAAAACTGTTAGAAAACGGTTCTCCAAACTGATGCAATTTCTTGACGGCTAGGTCTGTTCTGTAGGGAGCCTGCAGCCCACACCCTAGATGGACTGCGCCCAACTGCTGCTTCCTGCTGTGGTAGAAAAACAAGTTTCAGGAAGTCTGCTGTGATTGGCCCAGGGGTGCGTGGATGGCTTGTGGACAGCACGTGATCTGTGTGAGGATTGGCCTGCCCACTGTGTGGAGAGGTGACCTTTATGTTGATTGGCCATGTTACCCAATATAAGGGAGCCAGAGAAGTGGGAAGGGAGAAGAGCGCCTCGCCATGATGTAGCTGCTGTGAGCCTCGCAATGTGGCGGTGCACGGGGGCTGCATGGCCGCTGCACACAGGTTTTGCCGTGTCATCTCCACAATAAAGGTTCTACAAGGACAACGAGTGTCTGGGTTTGACTTGCTGGCCAAGGGACCCCGACATGTTCCATGTTTTCTACTTCTCCCCTCTTTGTAC